GGGCTCTGTCCTCTCTTCTCTCTCTATACTCCCTTAGTGATGACATGAATTCCCATAGTTTTAGTTAAAATTTCTATGCTAATGACTTCCAAATCTACAAATCTAGCCTGAGCTCTGTTGCTACATCTCCACCTACGTCCTGAAATCTGCCCCCAGACATTCTACAGCCATCTCAAACGCGACCTGTTAAAAATGAAATATTATCTTTACTCCACCCTTCCACCCCAATGCCATCCTGCTTCCCAAATTCCCAGTCTTTTGAGGGAGGAACCATTTTTCTAGTCTCCAAAGTTTGCAATCTCATCCTTTACTCTTCCCTCTCCTTTATTACCTATGTAACCAATGAGAAGCCAGTCCTGTCAATTTTACCTCCATAATTCGTGCATCCCTTGCCTTTTCTCCACTCACATGAGCACCACCCTAGTTCAGAAGAGTGTCCCTTCTCATCAGGACATCTGTACTTGGCTCCCTCCTGCCTCCCATCTCTCTCCTCCAATACATCCTCAATCTGCTTGGTAAACTGATAGTCCCCAAGGACAGGGCAGACCACGTCAGGATCTGGATCCCTATTACCACTGGGAGAAACAAACGCTTTTGCTTGACATTTAAAACCCTTCACAATCTAACTCCAAACCATCTTTCTAGACTGATTTCACTTCCTCTACATTCCTGTACTTTCTCTACATTTCCATCAAAACGTCCTCCTTGTTTCTACATCTATATGCAATATTCTGCCTCTGTGCTTTTGCAGAGATTGTACTCCATGTCTAGAATGCTTCCTCATCTCAACTCCATTTAAGCCTATTTCCTACTTCCATTTAAGGATCAGCTCATGTGCCATCCTTATACAAAAGATCTTCCCTGATCCTCAAAGCTGTTACTGCTCCCCTTGAGCCCAAAATTATTCTGCAGTTACTTGGTATCTCTTATTGTATTTATTTTTCTATGTAGATATTATTTTCCCCAGGAGCATGTTAGCTGCTGGAGGGCAGGGACTGTTTTAGTTTTGGTCTCTGGGTCTCCAAAAAACTAGTCACTAACAAATACTTATTGAATTTAATTGAATCAGATCCCTTTTCTTCTTTATGGGAGGGAGAATACTACATAGCCATGGGAGATAACAGATAGGGAGGTGTCATGGAAAGAATGTTGGATTGGAAGTAAGAGGACCTTGGTTTAAATCTTGTCACTCTCAGTTTCAACCTATATTGATTCTACTTTTATAAAATAAAGAAGCTAGGAGAGAAGGAAGACAGAACTGAAATGCATTCCTAGATTTTTCCTGAACTAATTTATTTAACCTCTCCAGGCTTCATTTCCTCATCTATAAAATGAGGAGGTCGGAAAAGATGATGTCTAAGGTCCTCAGAATTAGCTAGATGGCTCAGTAGATAAGGCACTGGGCCTGGAGAAGACCTTAGTTCAAATTTGACCTCAGACACTTGCTAGCTGTGATCCTAGGCAAGTCACTTACCCTCTGGTTGCTTTACTCCACTGGAGAAGGAAATGGCAAACCACTCCAATATCTTTGATGAGAAAACCTCATATAGGGTCAGGAAGAGTCGGATACAACTGAACAACAACAAAGGTCCTTTCTAGCTTTAAACGTTCCTACAATTATTTAAAGAAAATGGAGGTGACAGGCACCAAAGACAAGTGTTTCATAAGAGCTGGTTCTAGTTGAGAACTTAATCAATTCTAACTTTCACATTTTGATATTTATATTACTGTGCCCCAACACCTCAAAGTCTGGAGAGGCAGGCTGGTCACAGGTTGGGCAGCTATAAGGCACACAGACTAGGTGTTATGGAGGACACAAAGCAGTATAAGACATCATCTCTGCCCTAAAGGTATTTCCAGTGTATGTCAGGAGATGGCATATATGTCTGAAAAGGACAAATATTCCTCATCAACAGCCATTTATCAAATACCGATTATACACAAGGGACTATGTTAGAAACTTAAGAAAGTATGTACTAAATGAATGAGTAGAACAAACTGTGATATACGCAGGAGTAGACTGGAAAATGTTTTAACAACTGGCTCTCTGAAAACAAAATGTCCATTTTAAAGTTTAATCTGCATTATTAACATTTCTCCATCCCTTTCTAAAGCTTAGACAATCAACAAAGCAACAAACCAAGCCCGGATTTGTAGTGCTTGTGGAGTTCTGAGGTGTAAATGCTCGCAGTGAAAATTTAACCATCGGCTCTCAAGATCAAGCCGTCTCCCTTCAGTACACCCCTGGTGATAGGAGCTCAGTGGAGCATGAGATCAGAGTGGTCAGGGGAAGCTTTCAGATGGGTTTAAAAGATGGATGGGTACAGATTGGTGGAGAAAATAATAAACAGCATTGAGCAGCAGGTAATTCTAGAGATTCAGAACGTTAACATAACTCCCCTTGCCCCCAGAAAAGCAATTTGTCTCTTTTTAAAGTCACTTCCACCTCTTCTAATCCCAAGATTTTCAAGGTTTACTTTGAGTGTTGCATCTTACCTGAAGCCTTCCTGATTCTCCCCTAATTATTAGCTGGGATTTGCAAACACGAAAAATGACAAGCTCTAAATAAAGCTAGCAAATATAAAGCATTCACTTATGTGTGGACATGTCCTTTCTCTCTCCCCTAATGGAAGCTCCTTGAGGGAAAAGGCTACTCTTATTTTTTTGTCTTTGTCTCCCAGGGCCTCACATAGTGTCTGACACATATTAAGTACTTAATAATTATCCCTGTTGAGTTGAATGTTCATGGCCAGGATAACTCAAAGAAGGAAGGAAATAAGCATTTCTTAAGCGCCTACTGTGTGCCAGGCTTTGTGTTCATAAATATTATCTTATTAGATCCTCACAACCCTGGGAGGTAGATGCTGTTATTATCTGGTTATTATACAGTTGAGGAAACTGAGGCAGACAGGTTAAATGACTTGTTCAGGGTCACATAGGTACTAAGAGTCTGAGTCTGGATTTGAACTCAGGTCTTCTGTACTCTATGCCTAGCACTCCATCTATCGTACCACCCAGCAGCCTGGCCAAACAAAGGACACAAAGGAACTTACTGAGACAAAAGGATGTCGAGTTATTTTCAGTTTTAGCAATTTAAGATGCTGATGTTAGTACAAGAACAATGACCTTTGAAAAATACTTTTAGACTTCATAGTATGCCTTGCATCTGATAGATACAGAAATGTAAGCAGAGATTCCTAATCAGTTTTATAAGTAGCATACAATTTCTTTAATAAGCAAAAAGGAGAAAAAAAGCCCCATAAAACACTAAACTAAACATTCTAAACCTCTTCATCCTTCAACTGTCTCCAAGTTCTCCATTTCTGGTTTTGGATATTCATTGTGACAACCCAACCTCTGGGTGTTAGTGATGATTCTGTCCTTCCTAAGCCTGGGCAGGAAGTGGGGGTGGGGTGGGGGTGGTGCACAGATCCCCTGGAGGCCCCGCGCCAGAGTAGAGAGTGCCCTGGATTGGGATTACAAGATTCATGTTGGAGCCCTGGCTGTGGGATCTTTGGCTCAGTCCCTAACCAACCTGTGCCTCAGTTTTTTCATCTCTAAAATGGCAGTAATAAACCTTACCATATCTAACTCATAGGACTCTGAGCTTCAGATGAGATAATATATGTCAAAGCGCACATGTTGTATAACATATGTCCATGATTCCCATGGGCTGTATCTAATAAGATTCGACTTAATAGGAATAAATGTAAAATCCTATATATGGTTAAAAAAATAAACTGCCAAAGTGCAAGATGAGAAATGCGGTGAGAAATCGTGTGTATGTGTATGTGTATGTGCATGTGTATATATATTATATGTGTATGTGTATACATATATGTGTATATGCATACATATATGTATATATACACATATATGTGTGTATATATACATATATACATAGATATATACAGTTATACACACACACACACACACACACACACACACACATATGACCTGGGAGTTTTAATGGGCAGTAAGGTCAATATGAGTCAACTACATAACATGGCAACCAAGAAAACCAGTGCAAAAATAGACTACTCAATAAAAATAAAGTGCCCAGAATGAGACAATTCAACTGTTGGAGATCTCTGAAAAACAGTAGAAAATGGTCAGACCATAGACATTGAGAAAGTTCAATTCTGGGCATAGATTTTGAAAAGGAGATTGACAATAGATGAGGCGTCCAGAGAAGGATAACCATGCTACATTTGGGGTTTGAAAGAAGCCAGGATGTTTTACCTGGAGAAGAAAAGATTTCAAGCCAGGGAGTGATAGCTGAATTCAAAGAGTTGAAGGTGTAATGGGAATGGGGTTTAGATTTGTTTTACTTGGTCCTATAGAGGCAAAACTAAAAACAAAAGGTGGAAATGTTTGAGAGGCAGATTTAAGCTAGATGTAAAGAAAAATTTCTCAGTCCAATTGGGCAAAAGTAGAACGGGCTGACTCATTAGATAGTGAGTTCCTCATTGTTATATGTATTCAAGTGAAGCCTGGATGACAGATGGCTATGGCCCTTTTAGAGGGTGTTCTTGTTCAGGTATGGATTGTATCACATGACTTCTGGCATCCTTTCTAATGCTAAGATTCTGTAATTCTATGACAAGGAAGAAGGAGGTAGCAGGGCATCGATCCTACTTTGCCTACTTAACAATTTTGCCTGGAGCCGTGGAGGTTGGTGGGACCTGGAAAACCATCTTTGAGCCACCCTATAGGTTATTTTCCCGGTTCTCCCAAGTCTTCCCAGTCCACACTGGTCTAGTTTTCTTTGGTTCAGCCTTTTGTTCGTTCCAGCATTTACCTGCCTAGTTTCTCTCTCCCCGCTTTTGGGAGGAAGAAGAGAGAAAAAAAGGTTAGCTTCTTATTCTCATGAGACTCTCTCCCTTAGCAGCTCCCGCCTCACCCTTGTTTTTACTGAGTACTAGGGAGGGGGCCCCCTTAGACTGCAGCCCCCTCCAAAGGGAAAGGGCTCAGGGGTACACTCCAAGGATCACACTTACTTGGCAGCAGCATCCTTTCTCAGCTGTTCGTGCTTCATTAGGAGATTTTTTCGGTCCTGAAATGCCTTCCTGACCTTGTACCCTTTGTAGACAGCCTGGATTTTGAAAGCAGCAATGTCTTGAATAGCCGCTATCGACAGAGCCCCGTGTTCCAACATGAATTGAATTACTTCATGGTGCTCTCCAAGCAAAGCATAATCAAGAGGTGTGTACCTAAAACAAGAAAATGATGTTCAATCATAAGAACAATGCAATTCAAGCTGCATTTTGATTAATAGGTCTAGATTACTGAGAATAATGAATCCCTAGAAGTACCTGAATGCATTCAAATTCGCACTATTCCAAGTTATAATTATGTAAAATGTGATTATTGGTTCCAGCCCACTGGAAATGTGCAATTCAAATTTGAATGATGATACTACTTCTGGAGATTCATTATCCCCAATAATAGGGATCTAGCTGTCACCATCAATGGAACTCTCTGCCTACCCCCTACACTCAAATTGCAAAAAATCTACACAAAACCCTACAAATTCCCAGATTCTCAGTTCCTGGTTTGAGCCTTTCTTCTTATTACACTGGCAGTCAAGTGCAAAATTACATGTGTGTTTGAGGAAAGGTAGGGCAATGACTGGGTGTAGCCTACTAACTCAGGCTGTTTCCATGCATTTCATTTCTCCTCCAGACTTGCTTGGGGGAAAGATGGGAGAAGAGAATGGAAGAAGGCAGAAGTGGCCACTTAGAGTTGGCATAGAACACCAGAAAAATGATTGTAGGATTTCCTTTCCTTTCTTTTCTTTCTTTTCTCTTTCTTTCTTTCTTTCTTTCTTTCTTTCTTTCTTTCTTTCTTTCTTTCTTTCTTTCTTTCTTCTTACTCTTTCTTTCTTTTCTCTCTCTCTCTCTCTCTCTCTCTCTCTCTCTCTCTCTCTCTCTCTCTCTCTCTCTCTCTCTCTCTCTCTCTCTCTTTCTTTCTTGATTCTAAGATTTCTAATGTAACCTGTAGCTCAGAACCCCAAGCTCTGGGACTATGTGAACTAGATTCAATTGTAGAAACTTAAAAAAAAAAGGACTTCAGAGGAAGTCTATCCAGTCCGTTAGACTTAAACCACTACCCTGTGATCTCCACAGAAGGGAAAAGAACCTGAAGTAGAAAGATGACCCCTCTCTAGTGTGCCCCACCCTCTCACAGGGACCTATTCAGTCTTCTAGACTTACTGTGCTGCCCTAAGGGTTTAGGCTTCCCTGCAAGGAAATTTGGACCTTAAGGTTGCTATAGAATCAACTCTATTTTTTCCACTAGACCTGTTCAGGCCACATAACTCATGGCAATGGTGGAGGGCAAGGGTGTGCTCTTCCACACTGTGACTCCTGGACACTCTCTCTCTTCCCTTGGCATCTGTGGCAGCACTCTATCAAAGAGCCCAACTGTGGAGAGCATTGAATGTCAGACAAAAGTGTCTTCAAGTAGGTGGTTTGCTCAGTTTAATGAGTCCCTTTCTTATTGCTCTCTATGGACCCCACTTATAACTTTCCATGTCAAGAAATGACCCCAAATGTCCCAGATATGATCTCCAGGACACCCTGTGTAAAGTGTGCCTCATTTGGTAACAGGATGACAGTCTCTGTGTTTTCTCTGCCACCAGTTTTTGCTTGGCTTCTGGGATGTTTCATTTTTGCCTAGATGTTCATATGTTTTATTGACATAGGACTAGATAAAACCCATCTTCCTTTAATTAGACTGAGCCAACTTAAGGGTTAAAATTTTATTTGCTAAGGAATTAATGTGGAAATTAATATTAAACATCAAAAGATATGAAAGTCTGAGATACCTATTTTTACATAGATGTTGAGATAATCTTCAGTTAACCCTGTCTGACCTTGCCCAAATCCCTCCTTATTTCTCCTGGGAAAATTACCCCTCCTATTTAACACTTCCTTATGGATATGAAAGAGAATAAGGTCTCAATTCTTTAGGCTGTAGTTAGCCCCTTGAATCCTGGGTTCCCTGGGGATAAGGCATTATTTATCTCAGGCTGCATTTTTCAAATCCAAGACATAAATCCCTGGGGGAAAAAAAACCCAAAACATTTTCTATGATGCATTTCTTCAACCTCCTCCTCATCAGTAGTAGCATTTCTACAGTACTTTAAGGTTTGATCTTATCTGATATCATAACTAAGGGATGGCAAAAGATACCCTGAAAGAGTAAGTCAGACCTGAGTCCAAGTCCTGCCTAAGACACTTATTAGTTATGTGACCCTGGGCAAGTCACTTAACGTCTCCCAGCCTCAGTTTCTTCATTTGTAAAATGTCTCAGAGTTGGGAGAATCAAATGAGATGCAAAATATGTAAAGTGCTTGACAAACCTTAAAGCACTATCTAAATGTTAATTGTTACTGTTAACTGATGGTACTACTACTATTACTACTGCTGCTGCTGCTACTACTACTACTATTTCCCATTTTTTTCTTAGGGTTGGTTACTATTAGTTTCATATGAGAAACAACATTTTAAAATAAGCATGGAAATAAAACTACACGTGATGGGATAGAAGCAGCCAAGTGGCTCAATGGATAGAAGAGTGAGAAAGACCTGAGTTCAAATCCTGCCTCAGACACTTACTAGCTATGTGACCCTAAGCAAGTCACTTACCCTCTTCTAGCCTCTGTTTCCTTATTTGTAGAACTGGGGGACTTGATTCAATGGCCTCTAATATCCCTTCTAACTCTAAATTTTATGATCCTATTATCACAGGTAGTGGATAAAAGATGAGCCCTGAAGCCAGAAAGACTTGGGTTATAGCCCTGTCTCTGACACATACTACTTGCGTCTCCCTTGTATAAATCACTTAACTTTTTAGTCATCCAGGCAATTCTCTAAGACTGTAAATTGCTGACATTCAAAGTTAGAGGAAGTTTCCATTTCAAGTTCTTCACATCAATAAATCACAGATTTGGACCAAACCAAAAAGAAAGATACTGAAATAAGGAACTAGATCAACTTTTAAGTAATTTTATTTTAATATATATAATGTAAATTTGGGGCAGCTAGGTGGTACAGTGGATAGTTCACCAGGCCTGGAGTCAGGAAGATTCATCTTCCTGAGTTCAAATCTAGTTTCAGACACTTACTAGCTGTGGGACCTTGGGCAGGTCACTTAACCTTGTTTGCCTCAGTTTCCTCATCTGTAAAAAGAACTGGAGAAGAAAATGGCAAATCACTTCAGTATCTTTGCCAAGAAAACCCCAAATGGGGTCACAAAGAGTCAGAAATGACTGAAAAACAAATAATGCAAATTTAATTCCCATAGCCTTTCACATACCAGGTGTTCTAAAAATCATAGTACAATTTTAGGTTTTAAAGTTCAGAATGCCTTGTTCAGTGTATAGGTATGGTTATCATAACCTGGTTAATATTACTTCTGCTTATAGGGCTTAACTTGGCCAAATTTTGTCTCTATCTGCAGAATACTAGTCATCTTGTTCTAAGGAAAACAGAACCCTGTAGATCAGAAGTTCAAGATTCATTCTGCTACTACAGAACAAAGAAGTGCAATAGAGAAGAAAGATAAGGTTGAAGTACATTCAGCAGTTGACCACACAATGATTATCATCATGGAGACTGTCTTTATCCCAAATTCAACTCAGCAACATTTAAGCACAGTGAATATTACCGCTGGTGTCAGAGTGTGGCTCTCAGGCATTTATTGACTGAAAGCCAGCACAGCAGTAGACAAAAATGATGCCTACATAGTCCATCAAGTAAAATGGTTAGTGTCAATGCATGAGAAGGTAAAATTAAGACCTACTTGATGGTAACTAGGAAGGATGCAAAGCAGACAAAGACAAGAAGAGGAGACACATAGGGATTGGTGGATGAGATGATAAGAGTGCCTAAGCTGAAATGTCAGGAAGAATAAAAAACAAAGCCAGTGCACTGAAAGCCACACATCTTGGGATGTACATGATGGAACGTTAAATGGACCTGAGATGCTGTCATTTAAATTTTATAACTATAGGTTGGCAAGGGTAAGCAAGAAGATTTTTTTCTTCTTTTTCTTGGCAACTTACCCTGCAATTGAGGCATGTTGCCTATGCTGGGGACAGGGGGAGTGGGATAGGGTGGTAAATTGCCTTAATTCATGTGGTCTCTTGGTCAGAACTCCCCTTGGAAAAGTCCCTATTCCTTGGTGGGTCAGTTTCCTTATCTGTGAAACCAAATCATCATTTCCAGCTCTAAGATTCCATGACTGATTTCAGTTGTTTCAGCTGTGTCTGACTCTTCATGACCTTATTTGGAGTTTTCTTGGCAAAGATACTGGAGTGGTTACCATTTTCTTTCTCCAGCTCATTTTACAGATGAGGAAACTGAGGCAAACAGGGTTAAGTCCAGGGTCACAAAGCGAGTAAGTGTCTGAGATCAGATTTGAGCTCAGGAAGATGAGTCTTTCTGACTTCAGGCCCAGTACTCTATCCACTGTGCCACCTAGCTGCCCCAATATGTATGATCGTGTGGAGGAAATGTATAAAACCTGTGTGCTGTGAGTTTGGGGAAATGTCTCCCCAGAAATTGTAGCCTTAGAGGTCAATGTAACACATAGGGTTGCATAAAGACAGATTCCTGGTCTGATTCCATCTTGAATTGATAATTTATGAAATTATGAAATGGGTAAAGGCACACCCAGTTCTTTGAGTAGTCACTGGGAAAGACCATGATGGCAGAAGGAAATAGGGCTATGATCACACAGAGTGTGATTATATAACCACAGAGTGTATGCAAGCAAACAGCACAGAAAATACAGAGACAAGTGGGGGCTGGTTGGCCATTGTCCTGTATTCTTGAAGAGACCAAAATGACATCACTATGTTAAAGCCAAGTTAGAGTGTGTCCGACTGTGGCTGATCAGACCAACATAAGCTCAGAATACTCTACTACAGGTCAGGCACAAACAATCCATGTGAAGAATTTGTGCATGTCACATTTCTTTTGAGCTACTTCAGAGGCAGATGGTGTGGGGACAGGGGATGGGATAGTGAAGGAAGGCAGGAAACATGAGGAAGAGCATAGTGGGGGAGTAGAGAATATTACTTTCATAACCATGGATTGGAGTTGGGAGCATTAGGCAACATGGACCCCATGGGGATGGAAGCATGCTGGGGAAAGAGGCAGTAGTCTGAGGTCTCCTTTTTATAGTTGTTGGGTTTTTTTGGAGCAGACTAACTCTTATCTGTGCCATCGTGGGGTTAGTTCGTTAACATTTTCAAGTCATCTCAAAGTTGTTGGTAAAACTTTAAAGTTAACACAAACACATCATCTCAAAATTATCAGCTCCTTTTGGCAATCTGCTGGTCTTTACTAGAGAGGTCTGAAATTTATCTGGAATTTACAAATCATAGCACAAAAAGGCTCTGACAACAGTGCCTAGATGGCTTCCCCTGATTCAGCACAAATTACCAGAATGTGAATATTGGTTAATATATAATACAATTTGTAAATTATGCTTCTTTGATCTTTGGGATGTTTTGCATGTGACTTCCAGGTTCCTCTTTGCAACTTTATTTCATGCTATTACCCCTTTATACTGGTTACTTATAAACTTATTATACTGACTATAGAAGTGTGTGTGTGTGTGTGTGTGTGTGTGTGTGTGTGTGTGTATGTTGGTCAGAGGAATCAGGACAAGATACAATTTTAACACACATGTCAAAAGGAGGCCTCTACTACCTTAGACCTAGACCTTAGGTCCCACCTAGACATTTTAATGGTCCGAGATTAGCTATAGGGAAACAACCTCCCTGGAATAGATTAGATCTTGGCCAACACAAAGGTTCCTCCAAAGTTAAGACGTTCTCCATTCCTCATCCACATCATCTGACATCTTGCCCCTGTTATGCACCTTCTAAAAAAGGAAGGTTCCCCAATAGCCTTATTTGATAGGGTCCTTTTGCCATCTGCTCTAAAACTGTATAAAATCCTACATATGTTTTTATCTCCCTCTGTTCTACAAAGTTGTAGCCACCTGGCAACTGTCCATCAACTGATGCTAATTAAACTTTTTATCTTCTAATCTTGTCTCTTGATTTATTGACCTCCAGTCAAGCCTAGGTGGAAGAAATTACTCTCAAGGATGATCTTAGGATCTCTGGGCTGAGGAATTCCCCAACAATAGCTGAGACCTGAATTGCAATCAGATATTTTTCACCATGTCCTTGTTTTCATCAACAACATAACTGACATTCAGACAGTTTACAAATGCAAACAATGAGCTGCAAATTATTTTGCAGAGGAGGAAAGAAGCACCTGCATCCAGGCTGGTACCTCAGCTACAGACATTTTCTGATACTAGTTGTGTGACCTTAAGTTATTTAACATTTTCAAGTATCAGTTTCTTCAACTGCAAAATGGGGATCATACTTTGTACAGTTGTTGGCGAGAGAAAACTTTGCAGATAAATCTTAAGTCTTTTTACAAATGTTAAATTGTCATTATTGTGACCATTGCAATTTTTATTATTCCTGGTTCATTCCCTTTCCCTCTCCCTTCTTTATGGTCTTCAAAGAGAAAAAGTCCTATCTTTTTCTCATTTACTTGTTCAATCTTAGACTCCTGGGCATTACTAGATCAAGTGAGTTTCACTTATGGTCAAAATTCTTCTAGGAGAGAAAGCAAGCTATGACGGAGAGAGTGTTGAGTCAGGAGACTTGGGTTCTAATGCTGGCTCTAAAAACCAATTAGCTGGGTGACCATAGGAAAGCCTTCTAACTTCTCTGAGCCTCAGTTTCCTCATCTGTATAATGGGGATACTTACTGCTTGCACTTTGTGCCTCACAGAAATCTTGTAAGGAAACTACTATATAAATGTCAGCTATTATTTTGCAGTGGCCTTAATTATCCAAATGAGATATACTGATTCTTGGTGCATGTCTTTCACACAGGCAACCTGGTGCATTAGTGGATTTTTCATTTGCTGATTCACGTAAATTGCTGTGTATTGGACCTCCTAGACTTTCTACTCCCCTAATGAATGACTATTTTTTTTTAACCAATCCCTGTGGGATGTAGACCCACTGGTTTATAGGAGGAAGAGTATGTGGGTGGTCTGCCCAGTCTCCCTCATGCAATTAAACAAATTCTTTGCATTTTATTTCCAGGTAAACTTTAGTTGTAGACAAGGAGAAGGGTCAGGGGGAGGAAGCTCAAATTATCTCCTGGAGAGTAAGGCAGAGAAAAGGAAGAAGAAAAGATATGCTCTTCTCTCCCTTTTGGCCTAAGCTTTCCTATTCTTATTGCTTGTTAGCCCATTTAACTGGATGCTACATTATCCCTCTTCCTCAATTTTGGTCTGAAAACCTCAAACCCTGACCTTAGTTTTGCTCCCTGGATTCAGAGTAGTCCCTCCCACATGCTCTCTTTCTACACTCAACAAAACCCCCAATCTTCCCACTGATCTGTACATCATACACCCTATATGGGCCACACCCCTGCAGGCCTCTCTTGACTCACAACTGATTGACATTCTGGACCTCTGTTTTCTCATTTGTAAAATAAGACAAGACAAACTGTAACAATCCTGTGGTTCTCAGTTGCCAGTGTAGGCAGAGCTGACCACAGAGTTCTCTCACCCCTTGTTCAAGATCTCCTCAGTGTCATTTCAGTTGATTTCAATGTCATTCATTTCTCTTCGACAATATGGAAGCCTACGCTTTTGTTTTTTGCATTTCATCTAGAAGCATGAGTGTGTATTGAGCAGGTTGGTGGGTTTTCACCAAGAATTTACCTTTCTTCGTTGTTTTCCATCTGATTGGGAAAAGCTGCAAAGCTGAGCAGCAATTTTATAGCATCAAGGTAGCCATTGTTACAGGACCAGTGTAGTGCCGTTCTGCCCTGTGAACGAGGACAAAAAGCAAACGCTCCTAAAGCAAAAGAGTGCTTCGAGTTTTAAAAGAATATTATTAGACCAACTTAAAAAGATAGATATCTACATGCATATTCAATTCAAACAGCAGAACTGCCTAGGAGTGGGGGTGAGGGAGGGTGGAGAAGACAAAGGAAGAATAAGGAAACCAGGTCTCAGAAAGACTTGCTTCCTCAGGAAGGAAGGAAGCAAGTATTTTTTTTTTAATTTATTTAAATTTTATTTTTAGCAAGCATTTATTAAGCACCTACTATGTACTAGGAAACAAGCACTAAGAACTTAAAAAATATAATCTTATTTGAGCCTCATGTAGGTGCTATTATTATCATCCCCATTTTACAGTTGAGAAAACTGAGGCAGGCAGAAATTGACTTGTCCAGGATCACAGATCTGTAAATCTCAGAGGCTAGAATTGAATTTAGGTCTTCCTGAATCTAGGATTATAGAATTACCTTATCTGAGGGATAGTCTTTTTAAAAAACCCTTGATGACAGCAAATCTTTACTCTTAGGTCAGTTTCAATTTTGTTTAAGTAGCTAAAAGATATTCAGAGTCAATTCTGAGAAAAAGGTATGTAGGTAACCAGGCTGGGTAACACTTCTTGGGTCTCACCAAGGTGATAACAATAAAGAATGATCTTCTTTCATGACTCCTGAAACTTGCCTTGGCTGGTTTCCCAAAGTGACTACTTGGTTGGAGACCAAGGTTGGAGACCCATGGGATGCATAAGCTCACAGATAGGGGATGGGAACTGAATGTGGAATTTGTTATTTGTTGTTCCATCACTCATGTCTAACTCTTTGTGACCCTGTGGACTATATCACACCAATACTGTCTATGGCGTTTTTTTGGCAAAGATACTGGAGTGGTTCCATTTCTTTTTCCAGTGGATGAAGGCAAACAGAAGTTAAATGGCTTGCCCAGGGTCACACAGCTAGTAAACGTCTAAGGCTGGATTTGAATTCAGATCTTCCTGATTCTAAGCCCTGTGCTCTATCCATCGAACCAACTAGCTGCTCAATGGAGCAAACACCCTCTGCACACGTAGGTCAGCACCTTCTCTTCAATTCATACATAGTTTTACAGTTGCCTGGAGCACTGAAAAGTTAGGTGACTTGCCCAAGGTCACAAAACCAGAATATGTCCAAGGTGAGGTTTGAACTCAAATCTTCCTGGCTTTGAGGCAGCTGTTTCTACTATACTACATTGTCTCTCAAATTCTACTAAGCTTTGGAAAAACAAGAACAAAACCCTCATTTTACAGCATCACATCCAAGTATGTTCTCTCATTTGACATAACTGACGTGTTTCTGAAAGTTCTTGTCAAATAGGAGTCGAACAACAGTTGTTGGGTTTTGTTTTGTTTTCTCCCCGCTGTCTTCTACTGCAGCCCATTATCTTCATTTCTGATTGGCCTTTAAGCTTCTCTGTCTCTGAAGGTTTGTCAAAGAGTGAAATGTTTTCTTTGTATAAGCACCATGTGCTTGCACTAATAGTCCAGTTGCTACAGCTTTATAATCAACTTTGCTCCACTTCTATTCTATAGCCACCAGCCTATAGCAGAGATCATGACAAGACCAGAAGCTCCTTGAGGGCAAGGGCCGTGCCATCTTTGTATTCATCCCTCACCCCTATGGTGACTAGTGTGCTTGGCATGGTCACAGTATGTGCTCAATAAATATTTGTTGAATGGATGAATAGAGAAAAGATATGTTATGGGTGGAGCCAAGATGGCAGATTAAAGGTAGGGACTCGCCTGAGCTCTCCCCTACACCCCTCCAAATACCTTTAAAAAAGACTCTAAACAAATTCTAGAACAGCAAAACCCCAAAAAGATGGAGTAAAACAATGTTCCAGCCCAAGACAATGTAGAAGGCCGGCAGGAAAGGTCTGTTGCACCGGGGTGAGGGAGAAGCTCAGTCCAGCACGGGCTTCGCCAGCACGGAGCGGGCCTCAGCAAACCAGGGGCAGGCCTTGGGAGCCACTGAATCAGTAGCAGCAGCAGCTGCTTCCAGAGCTCTCAGCCCACAGACGATAAGGGAGTCGAACAAACCGGTCAGAAGGAGATTACAGGGTCTTTGCTAGCACTGCTGCTTTACCCATACCCAGATCCGGGTTACGGTGCTCGGTGGCAGTCCCAGAGCAGGGAGGAACACTAGCATGGCAGAGCTTGTGGCCACAGTGGAGCAGGAACCCTCCTCACAGTCCCAGGGCAGAAAAGAGCGCCTGTGGTCACTCACAGACCAGAGCACAGGCCAGGAGAGGAGGAAACCTCTCCTTAGATCAGAACTGAAAACTTACAGGTCCCTAGAAGTGTCTCTGAAAACAGCTGCACAATACCCCTGAAACTTGGGACCTTGGGACAGTGCACCCTCTACCCTGGAAGCAGAGCCCTACTGTAAGAAACAGTTAAAAGTCAAGTAAGAGGCTAGGAATATGAGCAAACAACAGAAAAAACTCTGACTGGATAAAGTTACTATGGTGACAAGGAAGATCAAAACACACACTCAGACAACAAAGTCAAAACTCCTGCAACCAAAGCCTCTAAAAAAAGTATGAATTGGTCTTGGGCCATGGAAGAGCTCAAAAAGCATTTTGAAAATCAAGTAAGAGAGATAGAGGAAAAACTGCGAAGGAAATAAGAATGATTCAGGAAAATAATGAAAAACAAGGCAACCACTTGGTAAAAGAGACACAAAGAAATATGGAAGAAAATAACACCTTAAAAAACAGACTAGGCCAAATGGTAAAAGAGGTTAAAAAAAAAAACAATGAGGAGAAGAATGCCTTAAAAAAACAGAATTAGGGGGCAGCTATATGGCACAGTAGATAAAGCTCCAGCCTTGGAGTCAGAAGGACCTGAGTTCAAATCCAGCCTCAGACACTTGACACTAGTTGTGTGACCCTGGGCAAGTCACTTAACCCTAACTGCCTCACCAAAACAAGAACAACAACAACAACAAAACTAGAATTAGCCAAATGGGAAAGGAGATCCAAAAGGTCACTGAAGAAAATAATTTCTTGCAAATTAGAACTGAACATATGGAAGCTAATGACTTTATGAGAAATCAAGAAACAATAAAACAAAACCAAAAGAATGAAAAAATAGAAGACAATGTGAAATATCTCATTGGAAAAAAACAACTGACCTGGAAAATAGATCCAGGAGGGGCAGCTAGGTGGTGCAGTGGATAGAGCACTGGCCCTGAAGTCAGGAGGACCTGAGTTCAAATCCGGCCTCAGACCAAACACTTGACACTCACTAGCTGTGTGACCCTGGGCAAGTCACTTAACCCCAATTGCCTAAAAAAGCAAAAAAAAAAAAAGATCCAGGAGAGATAATTTAAAAATTATTAGACTACCTGAAAGCTATAATTTAAAAAAAGAGCCTAGACATCATCTTTTAAGAAATTATCAAGAAAAATTGCCTGATATTCTAGAAACAGAAGGTAAAATAGAAAGTGAAAGAATCCACTGATCACTTCCTGAAAGGTATCTCAAAAGGAAAACTGCCAAGGAATATTACAGCCAAATTCCAGAGTTCCCAGGTCAAGGAGAAAATATTGCAAGCAGCCAGAAAGAAACAATTCAAGTATTTGTGGAGCCACAATAACACAAGATTCAGCAGTTTCTACATTAAAGCATCAGAGGGTTTGGAATATGATATTCTGGAGGGCAAAGGAGCTAGGATGTCAACCAAGAGTCACCTACACAGCAAAACTGAGTATAATCCTTCAGGGGAAAAAATGGATGTTCAATGAGATAGAGGACTTTCAAACATTCTTGATGCAAAGACTAGAGCTGAACAGAAATTTGACTTTCAAATACAAGAATCAAGAGAAGCACAAAAAGGTAAACAGAAAAGGGAAATCAAAAGGGACTTAATAAGGTTAAACTGTTTACAATCCTTCATAGGAAGATAATATTTCTAACTCATAGGAACTCTCTCATTATTAGGGCAGTTAGAAGGAGTATATATTAGACAGGGCACAGGTGTGAGTTAAATATGAAGGGATGATATCTGAAAAAATAAAATTAAAGGGTAAAAGAGGAATGTACGAGGAGAAAGAGAAAAGAGAGAGTAGAATGGGGGTAAATTATCTCACATAAAAGAGGCAAGAAAAAGCTTTTATAGTGGAGGGAAAGGGGGGAGTGAGTAAACCTTACTCTCATCAGAATTGGCTCAAAGAGGGAATAACATACATATGAAATTGTGTATAGAAATCTATCTTACCCTACAGGAAAGTAGAAAGGGAAGAGGATAAGTGAAGGAGAGAAATGATAGAAAGGAGGGCACATTGGGGGAGGGGTTAGTCAGAAGTAAAACACTTTTGAGGAGGGACAGGGTCAAAGGAGAGAGAGAATAGAATAAATGGGGGGATAGGATGGAAGGAAATACAGTTAGCAATAGTAACTGTGCAAAAAATTTTGAAGCAAGTTTCTCTGACAAGGACCTCATTTCTCAAACATATAAATCAAATTTATAAAAATAAGAGCCATTCCCCAATTGAGAAATGATCAAAACATATGATAAGTTTTCAGATAAAGTAATCAAAGCTATCTATAGCTATATGAAAAAATACTCTAACTCACTACTGGTTAGAGAAATGCAAATTAAAACAATTCTGAGGTACTACCTCATACCTATTAGATTGATTAATAAGACAGAAAAGGTAAATGACAAATGTTGGAGGAGATGTGGGAAAATGAGATATTAATGCATTGTTGGTGGAGTTGTGGACTGATTCAATTGTTCTGTAAAGCAATTTGGAACTATGCCCAAAGGGCTATAAAACCATGCACACCCTTTGACCTAGCAATCCCACTACTAGGTCTGTATACCAAAAGAGATGAAAAACAAAAATGAAAAGGACCTATATGTACAAAAATATTCATAGCAGCCCTTTTCTGGGGGCAAAGAATTAGAAATTCAGGGGATGCTAATAAATTGGGGAATGGCCAAACAAGTTGTGGTGTGTGATTATGATGGAATACTGTTGTGCTATAGGAAATGATGAGCAGGATGATCTCAGAAAAACCTGGAAAGATTTGCATGAGCTGATGCAGAGTGAAATGTACTGTGCACAAAGTAACAGCAATACTGTAGATTATTGGCTATGAATGACTTAACTATTCTCAGCAATACAACATCCAAGACAACTCTGAAGGACTTATGATTAAAAATTCTATTCATCCCTAGAGAAAGAAAAGATGGTGTCTGAATACAGATTGAAGCATACTTTTTTTTCAACTTTTTAAATTTTTCTTGAGGCTTTTTATTTTTTTATCCATGTTTTCTTTCACATTACTATTGTAGATATGTTTTATACGACTACACATGTATAACCTATATTAAATTGTTTGCCTTCTCAATGGGGGAGGGGTTGGGAGGGAGAAAGGGAGAGAGTTTGGAACTCAAAGTTTTAAAAATAAATGTTAAAAATTGTTTTTACATGTAAGTGGGGAAAAATAAAATACTAAATGTCAAGAAGATATGTCACGACTTGAACATTTTAATGTATATTATATATAACACATGGGCAGCTAGGTGGTGCCATAGTACAGAGTGCCAGGCCTGGAGTCAGGAAGACTCATTTTCCTGAGTTCAAATCTGGTCTCAGACACTTCCTAGCTGTGTGACCCTGGGCAAGTCACTTAACCCCATTTGTCTCAGCTTCCTCATCTGTAAAATGAACTAGAGAAGGAAATGGCAAACCATTCCAGTATCCTTGCCAAAAAACAAAACCCAAATGGGGTCATGATGAGTAGGACACAACTGAAATGACTGAATAACAATAACAAATATATAACTTCTTATATAACATAGCATCATATAGTCATATAATTATAGGTGTATAATTAAAATTGTATTATTATATATAACATTTAGTTATTTAATTTAAAAAATCTCTGACTAAGGAAATCTCCAGACATAAGAATGACAAAACAAACTGAATGTATTATAGTAAAAAAAAAAAAGCACCTGATCCCTACCTCTTTGTCTTGTATATTAGGATCTGCATTATTTTCCATGAGTAAGGCCATGCAGTTAATATAGCCTCCATATGCAGCACACTGCAAGGGGGTTCTTCCTGCATAATCTTGCACATTTGGATTGATTTTATTTTCAATCAATATTTGACAAACATCAGCATTTCCTCCCAGGGCCGCCCAGTGAAGAAGAGAATGGCCATCTTGGTCCACGAGATCGACCCTTGCTCCACCTGTAATGAGAAAGAAAAATGATATTTAAAACACCTAATAAGTAGAAAAAAGGAAGTGTGGTGTAGGGGATAGAGTACAGGCCTTGGAGTCAGGAGGGCATGAGTTTGGGTTTCATCTATAACACCTACTAGCCAACTCACCTGGCATTTTAGTGCCGTGGGCAACTTCTTAAAACTATAAGTTGTAGAACAGAAGCTAGTCTATATTGGTACAGGGAGTTTCTTCAGCAGAAATTCCTCATGACATTACATATGAAATTCCACTGACATTATAGGTCCTTGTCCAATCATTCCACTTACCCACTTCCACCCCCCAAAAAAGAAAAAAACAAACCCAGAATTTGGGTTCTTTTTATGGAGGTCATTAGAAAGGAGTGAAAGACAAATATTAATCAGAAGACTGAATAAAATGAAGTTCTGTGTTAGGATACTGAATAAAATATCAGCATCTCACATGTGATTGAAGAGTATGTTGATTCTAGAGTCTGTTGAGGTATGGTGGATAATCTGCTGGGCTTGGAGTCCCAAAGACCCAACTTCCAGCTTGTATCCTGGGAAAGACACTTAACCTGTAGGTGCTTCAGACTTCTCTCAAGGATTTATCGATTGTATCAGAGAGATTGTGATCTCTATTGCTGGAGGGAGTTCCCATACTGGGACATTCTTATGCTGACAAAAATCACAGATCCTCCTTTTATTTGCATTAAATTTTATTTTGATTTAAAATATGTCTATCAGTCTTAGAGGACAACTATGAGGCAAAACCCCAATTTGATTATATTCCCTGTCAGACTTACACATCTCTCTATGCCGTTTGGTGAAAAGCTCTAAACATTAAGGTCTCAGTTGCACTATGCCCCACGAGTGAGCTTAGACTATGCAAAAAGGATAATCGTAGCATCTTCCTTACATGCTGCTGTGAGATTGAGTGGAATAATGTGTGTAAGACTCCTTGTAAACCATAAAGGACTGTATAAACAGAATCATCATCATCATTACTATCATTATCATTGAAAGGCAGCTTGGTACCATAGAAGTAATGGGCATACCTGTATTTAAGTCCTTCATGACACATACTGACTGTGTGATACTCGGCAAATCATTCAACATCTCAGTACCCTAATGAACACTCTAAGACTAAGCTTCAGTGAAGGTGCTGACCTACACTTCAGTAGAGGGAGTTTTCTCATATCTGGGAGGTCTCCAAACTATTGAAATCACTGATCCAGTTCCTATCCCTATCCCTATAACAACAGGGATATTATTTTACAATAACTTTGGATATCAACCACATTTAATCAATCAACAAACATTTATTGAGGTCCTACTATGTGCACTGGAGATACAAACACAAAATTACCTTTATTGTTCTACTCTCCTTGTCCTCTGTCTCCCCAGTACTGAAACACGTATTGAAAAAGGATATGAAATAACACCCCGCCCAGTTTCTCAGGGGTTTGGCAACATGCAGCCTACCTTCCTGCTGTACACTTTGAGGAATTTAAACATTTGTTTGTCTAAAAGATCACTCAAACAATGATTTCTTTCCACGTATGCTTACTTAAAATATCAACGGAAAGTCAACAGTCTGAACACAGTATGCGCTCGATAAATTCTTCACAAATGAGTAAATGAAAATATAGCCGTGCTCTCACCCAGAACTCAAAAAGCTCACAGGACAGCTAGAGGCAATAATGAACATGGTGTTTCTATTTTGAAATCTCGTTTACATTTTGTTGGAAATGTTCAGCTCTGGGTAAGGGCTACAGGCTCGGTGTGAAAACGACTTCTGAATAGCCCTCTTGTGGGAGTTGTCGGAAAAGTTACACGTGTAAATGGTACGAAGAGAAGAAATTCTGTCGAGTGGAAAGCTGAATTATGACTTCTGAAGTCTCTTCCAATTCTGAGGTTTTAAGAGTCCAAGTATTCTGTAAAGGGTGTGACCAATAGGATCCCAGTAATACTTTTATTTGTCTATTTAGTTTGTGTGTGTGTGTGTCTGTGCAGACCACTGATGAGGTTTACAAATGATGGGTTGTCTCAGTAATGAATTGATTGTCAAGGTGATTAACACCTTGAATCTGTGGCTAGTCATTTACCTGAACTTCACATCCTAGGACTTAGCTGGAGATAAACAACAAATTGGAGATAGAGACATCCAGAGAGAGGAGAGGGCCTGAATGGAGATTAAGATTTTGTTCCCCGTCATTCTTGGAGCCACAAAGTTCCCTGCATCAGCCACAGAGATATGCATGCCTCCCCTCCAGAGAACTAAGGCAATGGTGGAGCAAGGAAGGGGTTTTTAGGACCGAGTAAGAGATGTAACTGAGCACAATGGGAAATAGAGCAATGGTGTGGGAAAGGAAACCTGGACTCTATATTTATTCGTACAGTGAGTCATGTGGACTGTGTACATCTAGAGGAGGGTGTCAGTATCAATTTTCATTGATACCAAGTACTTCCCCTGGTCAAGGGAGCCCACTCAGGGAAACACTATGTGGCAGAAAATGCAGAGATCCTTGAAGCTGGAATAACCTAACACCAGTTTTGAGGACTGTATAGATCTCCGAGGCCATGTAGAGAGTGAAAGATCTTGCCTTGCCTGTGTATAGGCTTACATATGAGTTTTTTGTTGTGTTAAAGCCCCCCAAGATGACCCTCAGAGGCCATCTAGCCCAACTTCTTCATTTTACAGATGAGGAAACTGAGGCTCAGATAAGTTACAGTAAAGTATCCCATATCTGCTCAGATTCTATCTTTTCCCTCTTCCTACCCCTCTCCCCCCAAAAAAACCAAACCTCTCTTCTCATAGATATGGAATAGGTTAGGCAAAAATTTTAGCAATTATTCTCTGGTTTCATTTTTGTTTTTTTGGGGGGGGCTCAGCTAGACCTGTGAGTTTGTCAGTATGGGGAACTCCTGCTATGGAAATCCCTTCCTCCAATGCAGATTGGCAGTTTATCTGCACTGATAATCTTAGAGTTAAGGGGAAAGGCTGTACCAAGAGGCTAAATTACTTTTCTATGGCCGCCCAGCTAGTATGTATCAGAGATAGGGCTTGAAATCAAGTCTTAATGACTCAAATTACACCATCTTGCTTCTTTCCTATGTACAATGAATTATCTGAACTTACTGATGCAATATCATACAAAGCAATATGTTTCAAATTTATTTTTGCTTTTTCACTTGACGGACACACATTTTACATATACACACACACACATATATATATACATATGTACACACACATTTTATGTATACATTTTAAAACACTTTGAAATGGTACAATGTTATATATGTGTGTGTTTATGAACATATGTATATATTAATATATGTACTTATATATGTGAGTAAATATACACATATACACATACATTTTATATATATATATATATATATATATACACACATATATATGCATATATAAATTAAAAAACCATTTCAGGGTGTTTTCACATGTCACAAAGATCTTATTTGATCTTCCTAGCAATCATGTGCAGTAGGAAGGGCAGGTTTTGTCCTATTTCATAGATGAAGAAATTGAGGCCATAATCCTAACTAGTGGTGGAAGGAGGACTAGAACCCAGGTCTCTTATCTTTTGGTCCCAGTCTACCTAACTCACAGGGTGGTTGGAGGTAAGTAGTTTACAGATCTTCAGGTTGTTTAGAAATGTTAATTATTTTGGAATGTTTTGTTTCAAACCATGCATTCAGGAACTCCTGTCTTATGCTATCGATTTCTTCACCCCCAGTGTGATTCAACAAATATTTATAAAGTGCCTACTATGTGCAAGTCACTGTGTTAGGTTCTGGGGGGTGGTGGTAGTAAAGAGATAAAACAAAAATTAGTTCATCCAGCTCACATAGCTAACTAACCTTTTATAAGTGTCTGAATCACTTCCTTGTGCCCCATTTCACAGGCTCGGAATAGAGGAGTGTGCTTCATGACGTCTGTGGCATCCACCTGAGCATGATGGTCCAATAATAGCTTCACAGTGCTGACGTGGCCGGACAGGGCAGCTGCATGTAAAGCTAAAAAAGAAGTGAGAAAGTTACTGATGAAATCATGAGAGGCAGCCTTGCTTTCTCATTGATCTAAATATATATATATATATATGTATACACACACATACACACATATATATACATACACATATATATACACATTATATATATGTATGTGTGTGTGTATGCATGTATTTTTTATCCTAATTCCCAAATTCAATTGATCTTCATGGTTTCCTTATTATCATCTTAGTTACTACCTCTTCTCATCTTTTTATTCATAAGTATCATCTAAGAAGTCACTTCCTATTCTTTTTCCTTTTTTATCCTTCACTATTCTTGTCTATGTGGTTTTGTTTATTTGAAACAATCACTTCTTCTCAGTTATTGTTCATTATCTTTTCTTCTCCCATTATCCTTTAGAAACACAATTTCTTTAGGAGCTGGAATTACACATAACCCCAAATAGAAAATTGTAAGGGGAAAAAAGTTTTAAACATATCTCAAAGATGTCAAAGACAGAAACAAAGGTCCAATGTTTAAAAAAAATTCATATCTATTAGTCTTTGTGGTAGCAAAGAATTGTAAACCAAATAGAAGCCCATCGATTGGAGAATAGCTAAAAAAAACCCCACCACACCAACAACTACAGTATATGACTACGATGGAATATTATTGTGCAATAAGAAATAATAAATATGAGGAACTTAGTGAAACTTGGGGAAGATATGTGTGACCTGATGCAACGTTAAGTAAGTCAAACCAAGAGAACAGTACATGCAATACTGACAACAATGTAAGTGAAACTGGTCACCAAATGGGAGTTAAACCCCAAGTACTGGTCAAAAACCAACAAACGAGGGGCAGCTAGGTGGTGCAGTGGACAGAGCATCAGCCCTGAAGTTAGGAGGACCTAAGTTCAAATACAGCCTCAAGTATTTGACACTTCTTAGCTGTGTGACCCTGGGCAAGTCACTTAACCCTAACTGCCTAAAAAAACCAAAAATGAAAACCAACAAAGGTACAAAGAGAAAAAATAACAAAATATACCTTGTCCTCACAAGAGAGAGGTAGAGGACTGCAATGGCAAAGTATTTTAGACGTTTTGTCATGCAAAGTTTCTGCATGATGTTTTTGCTTAATTATTTGGTTTATTTTTTGTCTCTGTCTTGTCTCCTGTCTCTGGATAGGTCTTGCAATTTTATTAATGAATAGAACTCCTTCTACCAATACGTATCAGTATCTTCTTAGAAAGTCTTTTAGTCTTGGAGAATTGCTTTCAGGCACTGACTGGTTAAGTGAATTGCTTAGGGTCACAAACCTAATAGAGATAGGTGGCAGGATTTCAATTTCAGGGCCTAGGCTGACTGTCAATCTACTACCAACTGTGGCTGCCTCGGTCTCTCTTTTAAATTATTCCCTTACTTGTTTTCCTCTGTCATAATGGATGGGGTCAATTTAAAAGTGGGGCAGGAAAGGATTTTGACCGAAAGGCAAAGGGTATCAATTATATTAATTATATATTTAATTAATATTAATGAATAATTAATATCTTAATTGTATCAATTAGTTTATGCTTTATAAATATATGTTTAAAAATAATTCCACTTCAACACAAATATTTGCCAAAAATATCTTGAAGAACAAAAGACTAGATCTGGAAGGGACTGTGAAGATCATCTAGTCCCCATTTTGCAGATGAGGAAAATGAATCCCAGAGATGGGAAATAACTTCCCTAAGGTCAGACTTTTAATCACGGTTAGAGGTAGGGTTAGAACCCCCATCATTTGACTCCGAGTTCAATTCTCTTTCCACAACAATGCTTTATACCTGTGTGGGAATTGTTTCAAGTGTTATTTTAAAATTTCCCTTTAAAGTCTGCTCTGAAGCTATGAACAGCATATAAAATCTGGGACAGAGTCACAAACTTTTGACTGGTCTTCTTGGCTGGCTTATTAAATAAGCTTCTTAAGGGTAGGGGTGGTTTAATATTTTTATGTTCATATCCCAGTATTTAGCACATAGTTGGCATTTAATAAATGCTTATTGATTGATTTGTAGACCTACAGGTTTTTGAAGAAAGAAGGAGAGAGCCAGGGGAGACGTTTTTTTTTTGACAATTGTGAGGATTTGGTGATCTTGGGTGATACTTATTATGCATATGTGTATATGTGTACATTTGTGTTTTTTCCAGGGGAATTCTTGTACTATGCAGTGAGTTACCTTAAGTCTTGGGCACAGAGAAGGGCCAGTACTAACTGTGTCCTTTGCAACACCTTCTGATCCACCCCCTATTCTCCTGGATGTGCTTGGTTCAGGTATTAAGGGACCCTAACAGCTAGCTAGCATGCGGCCATGACGACAGAGAATGTTTTGACAGATTTGTTGTTATTCAGTTGTTTTTAAATCGTTTTCTACTCTTCATGATGCCATTTGGGGTTTTCTTGGCAAGGATACTGGAGTGATTTGCCATTTCCTTCTCCAGTTCATTTTGCAGATGAGGAACCGAGGCAAACAAAGTTAAGTGACTTGCCCGGGGTCACACAGCTAGTGTCTGTGATCAGGTTTAAGTTCAGGAAGATGAATCTTCCCAATTCCCAACCCAGTGCTCTATCCACTGTGCCACCTCGTTGCCTTTTGATAGGTACCTTACTCAGGGGACCTACAAAGAAGGCAGGTATATATTTAGAAGCTAGGGGCCAGGTAAACTTCCCTGGAAAATGACAATTATGGCATGTTCACTCGGTCCAAAGGTATTACACTTCTTCATTATTTTCTTTTCTCATCCAATCCATAAGTTCTTACCTGTACCTCCATATTTGTCTGTCATGTTGATATCAATGTCCAATTTTAAGCTCAGCATTGTCCGAAGGACATCGTCACTGCCTTTTCCCGCTGCCCACATAAAGGATGTCCTTCCCTCAAGGTCTGAATCATCCTTCACAGAGGGATGTTTCAAAAATACTTCCACTGTCTCCTGTAAGAAAACTTCACTGAGTGAGCATTTTACATAATTGCTTTCTTATGACAAAAGAAGTTATCATGTAGTATATAACGTGAACACTTTTACTTAAGGATCTCCCTCTCTTTTTTTTCCTTTATCAACCATAAATTCTATTAAGAGTTATAATCCTTAATAGCTATACTGTGCTCTATGTGATAGACTAGGGCAGGTGTGGCCCTCTAGGTCCTCTAGTGTGGCCCTTTGACTGAATCCAAACTTTACAGAACAAATCCCCTTAATAAATGGATTTGTTCTGTGAAGTGAGGATTCAGTCAAAAGGCCATACCCAAGCACCCAGAAGGCCACATGTGGCCTCCAGGCCACAGGTTCCCCACCCCTGGACTAGAATTTCCCTATTTTCCTACAATAAGAAAAAGGTAACAAAGTTGTCCCTGGGACTTGAATGGCCTGTACCACCCTTGATGCAGTGTCTTGGTTACCTAATGTCAGAAAAGATCCCATTTACTAGGAATTGGGGCCCCTCTGGCTTGGTGGATTTGGGAAGACTGTGAGAGTCATTTTACCCTGTCCTGCTACCAGATACAGTTCCATAGAGGGGTGTTGCTTCCAGAGAAGTTAGGTGCCATTGTATTCTTGTTGCATATCCTTGCTGTGTTAGGGTAAAGTAAATCTTTTGTTATTGTAAATGCCTCATTTTATGGGACAAAATGGGGGTTAACAGCCCTTCTACTATACTGTACTATGCTATACTATTCTGGTGGTTATGCTGTAGTGAATAGGAAAGTGGCCTCAATTTGAGAACTAGGCTTAAGACTTCCCTTGGAAACATACTGCTTGTATACCCTGGGCAAGTTATAAACTCTCAGTGGTCTAAGAAACTAAGGTGGTTCTCACACTTTCTGATCTCAGGCCCTCTTTAAGCCTTTAAAAATTACTGAAGACTCACTAAAGAGCTTTTGTTTATACGGGCTATATCTATCAATATTTACCATACTGGAAATTAAAACATCTTGGTATTATTATGAAGACAGTTTTGACCTCATAGACATTACTTTATGAGTTGCAGAGAAGGTGCATACCTGCTTTGGTGGAGAGAGTTTCCTTACCTACAAGTTCCCTATTTCACAAATTAATCCTTACTCCTATTTATAATCACACCATAAATCTCTGTAGCATTTTTCAAGCATTAGTTATTCCCCTAACTCAAAATCCTAGTGTTAAGCATCTGTAAAGAGGGCAATGGGATATAGTTAAAAGAACACCGGACCTCAAATCAGGAGAGATGGATTCAAATCTTGCCTCTATGACTAACTGGGCTGCTGACCTTGGATAGTTCACTTCCTCTTTCTAGGCCCCAGTTACCTTCTCTGTAAAAATGAGAGCTGGATTAAGTGACCACCAAGGTACTGTCCACCTGCTTTAAACACCAGGAATCTAAGATTTAAGAAGCATCATTCCTGAGCATGGGTGGGGAAAGAAGATCAAACAACAGTTCATAGAATCATAGACTACCAGATTTGTAAGGGTCCTCAGAGGCCATACAGGCCAACCCAGATCTGAAAAAGAATTCTCCCAATGGAACACCTGACGTGGTCATCTAAGGGAGAGTCACATGAAACAAGCCGTTTTACTGTTAGGCAGATCCAATTATTAGAAACCAAAGGACTGGAGGAATAATCAGTGTGTCACAGCTAACTGCAGTAAGCTCCCCTACACTCAAGGATGCTCAGTGATCATCAATTTCAGGCATGCGGGGCAATAATGAAACATCCCAATGGGAAACAATTCTCAGCAGCACTGAATGAGTCATTTGAGCTTTAGGCTAGTGAAGTTTAAAGCTTCACTAAGACTTTTATGTGTACACACACACACACACAGAGCTATACTTTAGTATTCAATACTTCAGAGAATCGATGATTTCGTTAGTGTGGGTATTCCCTCCACTGGGAGAAGATGGCAGCCAACTCACAGCTTTTAATTCTTGTCCACATTCTTCCACAAATCCTTGACTGGATCTACCCAATATCCTTCCTCTAGTTCTTTTAACATTCCATGGGTACTGCTGCAGCACCCAGGATGACTAATTATTATTCTTTGTTCTCTATGATTGGTCCACCTTTTTGTGGTCATACATTGACTCAATAATATTCTATACCTTACTTAAAGTACAGGTCATTCTTGGAACCATGTGGCAGCTGATGTGTCTTTGGGTCACCTCTGCTTCCTGGCTTCTTTCAAACCTCAACTAAAGTTCCACCTTCTAAAAGCAAGAAGATTTTCCCACTCCCTCTTAATCTTTGTGCCTTCCTTCTGAGATGGTTCCCAATAGATTCTGTCTATATCTTGGTTGCACATAATTGTTTGTATGTTGTCTTCCTCATTAGAATGAGTCTCTTGAGAACAAGGGGCTGGTTTTGTTTTTGTTTTTTTCTTTTCTTTCTATCTCTAGAGCTTGGGACAATGACTGGCACATAATAGGTACTTGATAAATTTGAGTTAACTTGACCTGAAACTTCAATTCTTCAGACTTATGGTGTTCCAAGATTTGTAACTATACAGCATCACTAGACTAGAACAACATTTGTGTTAAAAACATAAGTTTTTGTGCTGTGGAATAACTTGGGAACATGAAAGGGACTTCAGTTTCCTAAACGTAATCTAAGCTGCTCTCCTCTTCCCATTCAGTTCTGGATACAATCCTTTGTCTATGTACAATGCCCGACCCAAACTGATGAACTAACTCAATGGACTGGCTTTACAACCACATGTCATGGTGTGGACAAAAGTCCTTTTCATCCATTTAATTTTTCCTGAATGGACTTTTTGGTTGAACTCTTTTTAGAAATCATGGATAACATTGAAGAGGCCCATTAATGCTCTGGGCCTTGCCGCAATTAACACAATGTTATCGTAAAAGCACCTGTAGGACTCATTGCCTGTGTGACCTTGGACAAATCACTTCATCTTTATGGGCCTCAGTTTCCTCATCTGCAAAATGAAGAGTTTGGGCTATTGACCTCTAAGGTCCCTTTCATCTCTAAATCTACAATCCTATGATCCTACAACACCCTCTATTGCAGGAGTTCTTAACCTTTTTTTTTTTTTCCCATCATGGACCCCTTTGGAAGTCTTGTGAAGTCTATGGACTCTTTCTCAGAATCAGTGTTTTGAAAACATAAAATAAATTATGAAAGTTATAGAGGAAATAAATTGTAATGAAATATAGCTATCAAAATATTTTAAGTAAACTAAATCTATAGATGACAGATTAAGAACCTCAACTCCAAAGTGAATCCTACTTCCATCTGGACTTTGTACATGAAAGCCTCATTACGATGGTGAACCCTTTTGGTGAGCGTATATGGTTTTGTTTTATGTCTCACAACAGCTACGTGGTTACATTTATCAAGGGATCTTATATGATTTTAACTTATCCATGATGGCCTCCATAATGGAGAGGAATCTTTAAAATTATATTTTGCTCTATCAAATCAAATGCCCTTTTCAGGTATGATCAACAACAACAAAAAAATACGTTCACAAGCATAGTTTCTTTACCTTTCAGTCAATTGTGTGATTGTAAAGGATATGGACTTTTGAAGAAAACAGTTGTATAATGTAATATTAACATAATGATATAATAGTATAAATAACATTTATATAATAAATTATTTATCTCAGTTGTAGAGGAAGGATAATTTTTTAAATTCACAAACAGAAGGGATTATTCAGTACAAGACAGATGTGCATGATGGCGTGAAATAAATAATAATGGCTAACATTTACTTAGTACTTTAAAGTTTGCTAAGTGCTTCATACATACCATTTCATCTGATATTTATAATAACCTTGAGAGGTAGGGGCTATTATTCTACTCATTATACAGATGAAGAAACCGAGGCTGAGAGAAGTTAAATGACTTTTTGAGGGTCATACATCTAGTAAATTTTTGAGGCAGCATTTAAACTCACACAGTTCTTCCTGACTGAAAGTCCAATACCAGATCACTTAGCTGCCACTAAAACTGCTTCATGTGAAAAAAACTACCACCAGATAATTTAAAGAAATAATAGATTGGAAAAATTTATGACACATATGATCAATTAAAAAATTGTCATTTTAAATATGCAAGTTATCATTAAAAAGTCACAGTGGTAATTCTCAGCCCATAATGAGTAAGTGGTCAAAGGATATGAATAATTTTCAAAGGATGAAATAGAAATTAACAGTTATTTGAAAAAATACCCAAATTTACCAATAATCAAAGAGATGCAAATTAAAACACCTTTAAAGTTGCCACCACATATCTATGAAATGGACACGGATAATTAAAGTACCAAAATTCAGGGCTGGTGAGGTTGTGGAGGAACAGGTATAATCATCCATTACTACTAGAATTTCAAACTTGTAAAATGTTTTTGGGTGAGCAATCTGGCAGGACATAATAGGATTTTAAAAAAATAATCTTATCATGTGACCTATAAGTCATGGTTCATTAATATGATGGAAAATAATGCAGTTAAGTACTGACATGTATGAGGATCACAAAGAAAACTGGAAAAATCTACATGAAATAATACAAAGTGAAAACAAAGAACCAAAAGAGTGGGATATGCACTAACTAAAATCACATAAGATGAAAAGTTAATGAGAATGAATAATCAAAAAAATCCTGATGAGGATGAAACTGAAAATTTATTATGATATTTTCTGTACTGGAATGAATTAAGTCAAATGTAATTAGTTACAAAGCAAGTTTGGCTGGTTGTATTGATGTTTGATGTTAATCTTTTAACAAAATATTTAAAAATGAGGTAGTCTACTGCATAAAATTGTTTGCAAAAGCCTACTTCTCATATTTCCATTAGTTGTGTGTTTAGATAATTCTCAAAAAGATTTTATAAAGATGGAAGATAGGAATAAGAGTTGATAGTTAATGATACCACCTTTTGGGGGAACATTAAAATTATTATTATTATTATAAAAGTAATTATACATAATTAATAAAATAT